AATAATAATAATAATAATAATAATACATACATACATAGGCCTACATAAAATTATTGTATTTGACATTTCTGTCACTTCTGAAATGATGGATACACCCCTGGTGTGACAAAATGTTAGCCTATACATACATTTAAAGTTCTTTTTAAAAATCTTGGCTTACATAAATTTCTACATATGCCATGTCATGCCATAGCATCATACAATGGACAAAAGTGTTTTTTTTTCTCTCTAACCTATGGTTCTGGAACCATAAATGCTGCTGTGTAATTTGCCCCCTGACTAAGCATTTAAATAATTTTGGGGAAGCATTTAAATAATCCTGTGAATGCACTTAAAGAATGCACAATCGAATCGAATTTAATTGTGAATCGAATCGAATTGAATCGTTCTGAATTTGCACAAATCGTTCTTGAATCGAATCGAAACCCTATGAATCGTGAATCGAATCCATTCGCTGTCTACCCAAAGATTCACAGCCCTAGTAATTACAGATTAGAGCTATAGCTTACTCCCTCCAACAATTGTTCTCTAGAGTAGGGTTTCCTAAAGTTATAGTTACAGTTGGAACTGCTGAAGCAGGCGTATAGACTTTTGGGTAAAAAAGGAATAAGGACCACCCCTTACCACCCACAGACTGATGGGTTGACTGAATATTTTAATCAATCTTTGAAACAAATGCTTCGTAAGTTTCCGACAAATGTGATGATTGGGATCAATGTCTTCCATATCCGCTTCTTGCCTATAGGGAAGTTCCCCAGGCCTCAACTGGATTGGATACAGACAGGAGGTACGAGGGCCATTGATGATGCTGAAGGCCCTGTGGAATGGGGAACAAGGCAAGGCAAGTTCTACTAATATCGTTGACTATGTGGTTCAGATGCAAGAGAAGCTGGAAAGCATGAGTACACTGGCCCAGGAGAGTATGGCGGAAGCACAGAATCGGCAAAGGACTTGATATGATCAGAAATCTTGAGCAAGGAACTTTGAGCCAGGTACTCATGTATTGGTAATGTTGCCCACTGATGTGAGCAAGCTAACTGCCAAATGGCAGAGCCCCTTTAAAGTGTTGAGGAAGCTGGACCTTGTTACGAATGAAGTTGCTACTCCTGGTCAGAGGTGATCAAAATGGACTTTACATGTTAACTTACTCAAAGAGTGGTTTGCCAGGCTTGAGGATAATGCAGGTGTGTTCCTGATTCGGAAGGTAGAAGATGAGATGAAAGCCCAATATTTATCTGTAGTAGCACCTTCTAAAGTCACTTGTCCCAAAGTCAGCAGATTAAGAGGCTATGTGATCCCCAAGTTTTCCAGAAGAAGCCAGGATATACCACTTTAGTTGAACATGACATTGTACTCAGAGATGGAGCTTGCCCAAAACGTGTAAGCTATAGGATACCTGAGTGACTCTTGGAAGCTTTGCACAAAGAATTAGATGAGATGCTAGCCATGAACATTGTGGAACCATCAAAAAGTGAGTGATGTAGCCCAGTTGTTTTGGTGCCTAAAAAGGATGGCAGCCTATGCTTCTGCGTTGACTTTAGACATCTTAACCCTGTATCAAAGTTTGATTCTTATCCGATTCCACGGATTGATGACCTTGTGACCGTCTGGGAAAAGCCAATTACTTAACTACTATTGATTTATCTAAAGGTTATTGGCAGGTCCCATTGAGTGCCAGATCTTGGGAGCTGACAGCGTTCCGAACCCCTTGGGGGCTCTGTCATTTTTGTAAGATGCCTTTTGGCCTTGACGGGGCTCCGGCGATCTTTCAGCGGTTCATTGATCAGGTATTAGTTGGTTTTAATGACTTTACAGCAACTTATTTGGATGACATTATCATTCACAGTTCAACGTGGGAAGAACATCTACAACATCTCGAGTTGGTTATTAATCATATCAGAGCAGCTGGGCTCGCCATCAATCCTTCCAAGTGTGCAATTGCAAGAGCAGAAACTGAGTATTTGGGGTATGTGATTGGCCGAGGGACTATTAAACCTCAAGTTCAGAGAATTCATGCAATACAGAATTGTCCCCCCTACCACAGACAAAGTCTCAGATGAGATCATTTCTGGGAATGGGAAACTGGTACAGGAGGTTTGTTCCCAACTTCTTGGTAAGAGCAGCGGCACTGACTGATTTGACTCGGACGAACTGTTTGAACCAGGTTCAGTGGACAGAGGAAGTGGATCGGGCTTTTCAGAATATTAAGGATGCTCTGTGCCAAGAGCCAGTTTTATTTTGTCCTGATTTTGATAAACCTTTTATACTGCAAACTGATGCTTCAGATATTAGTGTAAAAGCCGTTCTTCTTCAGGGGATGCAAGGAGATTGACACCCCATCGCTTACATCAGTTGCAAGTTGTTCCCGCGAGAGGTACGATACTGAATTGTTGAGAAAGAATGTTTGGCGATAAAATGGGCCCTTGACATTTTCAAGTATTATCTGCTTGGATGGGAGTTTGTACTGGAGACTGATCATAAAGCACTACAGTGGATGAACCGTATGAAGGATTCAAATGCTAGGAGGATGTGCTGGCATTTGTCTATCCAGCCTTATCGATTCACCATCCAGCATGTCCCCGGCCAAGATAATGTGACAGTTAATTCCAAGATATCCCACTTTCTTTCTTTTTTTTATAAATGAAAGTTGATTTATAAATTAATGTAATTTGTGGAAGGTGTGGATTGAAGGGTTTTGTTTTGTTTATTGAATGTCTTTATGATTGTATGTGTTTCCCTTTAGGTGTTAATTGGTGCTGGTCACCAAAGTATAAAACCGGTGTAGTAGTTAGTAGGGTTCTAAGGTTGAACAGGTACTGCAGTCCATAGAGCTCTGTGAGTTAGAGAGGGGCAAATGTAGTCACGTATGTTTATTGTATTTTTTATTTATTGTAAGTTTTTTTTCCCTCTTTTTTTTTTTTGTTTTTTTTTTTGAGTTGCTTTATTTTGTAATTTTGTGTTGAAAATAAAATCCCTGAAAGTTGTGCTGAGACCCACTGCCCCTGTTTTTTTTTCCTACTGTTTGCATCTTCCACAACACAGTTCTCGTTACCCATTCTGAAATGCCCAGAATCACTCGCCAGGCAGGTGCATAGTTTGAGAGAGGTTGAATAATTCTACACTGTATGGGTAGTCTGCCATTTTGTGACAGGGGCTTTTCTTGGCGGTGTATTTATTTTGTCTTTATTTTGCATTTATTAAAGGAAAATACACTGAACAACACACTTTCTCGTTCGCAATAGGCGAGGGAATCACAGAACAAATATGCACATGAGTGTGAGAAAACCTAGCTTTATCTAGTACCCCCATAGAACTGGGCCTGGCTGACGAAATGTGTTGGTAAAATGCTAAATTTATTTATTTTAATTTTTAAATTTATTTATTTGAATTGTTGTTGGTTGAACTATCTTGTTTTGGTGATCTGTTTTATTATAGAACTTGATCTGTTTAATTTATAATACGGGTTGTTATTGTTTTGGTGAAACTGTTCTGTTTCTGAGATCATAAAAAGTGCAATTATTCAGCTTATTGTACAAACACAAGAAGTTTAAATCAGTAGTTCCATATTCATAATTAAATTGTTTATTATTTGTACAAAGAAACTCTCTGCACATCCCTGTATAAATTGGATTACTAACTTTATAACTTTAATGTACTTGAAGTGTGCACCAAGCATTAGGAAAATGCAAGTATTGGATCGGGACTTGGTATCAGCAAAACTTAATATTCAATGACTTGGATCAGATCGGGGACACAAAAAACCTGATCGGTAAATCCCTAATCTTAATACATGTCACACATCTTTTTTAACACCCACAATGCATATCGTCATAAGTTTTGTACCGTAATTTACAATGGCATGGCATATTGATACACCCCTAATATATACACACAGACTGAATTACTATGAAGATCTGATCTGACTTAACTCTTTTTGGATGTGACTTCACAGTGTCTACAGGCTCTGGATTTCCTCCATTCTAATCAGGTGATTCATAGAGATATCAAGAGTGATAACATTCTGCTGGGCATGGATGGTTCAGTGAAACTGAGTAAGTTAAACAAAAATTAAACTGACTTTTATTTATTTTTTTATTGCTGGTGTTACAAACACAACTCACATTTTCTTTATAAATGTCCTGTTATCCATAAAAGACCAAGGTCTTAACCTTCTCTCTCTTTCTAAAGCGGATTTTGGGTTCTGTGCTCAGATCACACCTGAGCAGAACAAGCGTAGCACCATGGTGGGCACACCCTACTGGATGGCCCCAGAAGTCGTAACCCGGAAAGCCTATGGCCCCAAAGTAGACATCTGGTCCCTGGGTATCATGGCGATTGAAATGGTGGAGGGAGAGCCACCATATCTGAATGAGAACCCACTGAGGGTAAGACCTTGCAGAGCTTTATAAAGCAACATCATATATTTTGTTGGAGAAAAAAAATGCAAACCAATCCTAAATGCAGTAATTAGTTAAAAAAAAAAAAACTGAAACTGATTAGCCTTTCTATGATAAGTAAGTAGTACAGCATCTGAGTTGGGCACACAAATGCCTTGATCATTTAATAATTGGTGATTGCCTGTTGATGACCTGAAGAGTAAAACATTTAATCTATTTAAATAAAATTGGGAGAAATAACATTAATGTGTGCTACATTGTAACTTGAATTGAATGTACACACTTTTCTATAATCCCTTGTGAAAAAGAAGTACACTTTAGCATACTTTAAAAAAGTGTATGTATTTCATAAATAATAAGTCAAGTCACCTTTATTTATATAGTGCTTTATACAATGCAGATTGTGTCAAAGCAGCTTTTCAGTGTCAAACAGCAAAATCGTTTGTCAATAATGCAAGAGGACCATAACAGACAGTCAATTTTTCAGTTACAGTCAGTTCATCGATGATTCAGTGATGTCATCATCCAGTTCAGCTCTCTTCCAGTAGTGTCTGTGCAATCAAGCCGACAATATTGCCAGAAATTAAGCGCCCCCAACTAAGCAAGCCAAAGACAACAGTGGCAAGAAACCAAAACTCCATCGGTGACAGAAATTGAGAAAAACCTTGGGAGAAACCAGGCTCAGTCGGGGGGCCAGTTCTTCTCTGGCCAGACGAACACCAGCATGGTGTTAATTCCAGGTTGCAACACAGGTCAGATTGTGCAGAGGACTTGTCTGGTTCCCGTGGTCTTGTCCCGATGGCCGTCTAGTTGACAAAGTCTTAGCAGGGGATCTGTGTCTAGGACTCATCTAGTTGACATGGTCTCCACTCTGGTCGTCTCTAGGTGCTGATCCTCTGGTCTGGATATGGACTGGATCTGGGTGGCTACGGTAACCTCGGAATAAGAATGAAACAGACTAATATTAGAGTTTGGGAGCTAAATAGGAAAAGGATCTGACGCCCACTGTTGATTTTGATATTCTATGTATTATCAAATGGCCAGAGTTTTGAGATTGCAGCAGACGTGAAGGATTATAATGTGATATGAGCTCGCTCAAGTACTGAGCAGCTAAACCATTCAGGGCTTTATAAGTAATTAGCAAGATTTTAAAATGTATACAATGTTCAGTAGGGAGCCAGTGCAGAGTTGAAAGAACCGGGCTAATATGGTCAGACTTCTTGGTTGTTGTAAGAACTCTAGCTGCTGCATTTTGTACCAGCTGGAGTTTGTTTATTAAGCACGCAGAGCAACCACCCAATAAAGCATTACAATAATCTAACCTTGAGGTCGTGAACGCATGAATTAACGTTCCTGCATTTGACATTGAGAGAATTGGCCATCATTTAGATATATTTTTAAGATGGAAATATGCGGCTTTATAAATTTTAGACACTTTAAAGAATATACTTTAGTGTTAATAGAATGTAATGTTTTCAGATTCATAATTTCATATTATTTCAAATTAAAATCGAATATATTTAAAATTTATATTAAATGTAATTAGTTGCACTTTAGTGTGATTTTTTTTTTTTTTTACCCACTTATGTCAGTCTTATATGCAGAGGTGGGTAGAGTATCCAAAAACTGTCCTCAAGTAAAAGTACAAGTACTAATATAAATAATTACTCAAGTAAGAGTAAAAGTATTAATCCTAATAGTTACTATAGTTAGTAGTAATAGTTAGTAAAAGTAAAAAAGTATCCAATGAAAAAATTACTCAAGTAACCAGTGACTAGTTACTTTTGACCATAGGCATAGGCCTGATTTTCAGGGCATTTTTTACTTATAAGCGATTTTATAACTAATTTATCAAATGTATCTGTGTTGTTTGTTTTGTCAAATTTACCCAGTCACTTTAATCAATCACAATACTATAGACTGTTACCAGTCTCATTTTTTTCAGCATCAACAAAAGCCATCTTTACACTGCAAAAGTTTAACAGTAGCTGCATCTGACATGGCATTTATGTTTATTTACACAGACTGTTTAATGCTTCTCGTGTACACGTATTTACACAAAAATTGCATAATGTAAATAGCCTATAAAAAAAAAACAGGAACTCATTAGAGTTTGAAGCTGCAATCTCATGAAAAGAAACCATTATTGCTGATTATTGCTCTTGATATTGTAATAATGATCATTATTTTCGATTAGGCCTAATAGAAAGGGGAAAAGCATTAACCGTTTATGAATTGCTTTTTACAGATAATTATTTCTATCAGTAGCATGAAAAACAAAACGGTTATTCAAACTGGGAATAGATTATATAAAGAAAGCGAAAGAACACTGAAGCGGTCCATGACTTCAATGTAATGCGAGTTATGCACTTTCGCAAAAACTCCCGTTATAATCACTGAAGCTGTCTACACTGCACAATCAATCTCTTTTCTGCAGTTTGTTATTTAAGCTGATGAGAGAATTTACTAATGCAGTTTCAGAATTCAGTCAATGAGCATGCTCGCTGACAACTCTGGAGTTCTCTGCGTTGACAAATCAAAATGCCTCTGATTGGATATTGCATTCATAAGCTCAACAGAAACATGTGTGATTAGTTATAATGCTCAATGTTGCAAACCGCGCTCAAAAACAAATCTGATGCAACATAATAAAGCAAATCTACTATTAATAAAATGCCAGAAATGGAGCAGGGTTGCAAGTCTACAAGATGGTAACTCTCCAGGAGCAGGGTTGGAGATCCCTGCAGTAGAATTTGCAGATTTGGTTTCAGTTGACTGTAGGTTCATTGCCACTTTATCCAATGATCTTTATATTCTCTGTATTCTTAAATTTCCCGGTACGAATGAGAAACCGCTTCAGACAATTCTGTGCGTGCAGGGAACTGAATAAATCGAGAACCATTTCAGACCATTTTGCCAACTTGTTTGATCAAGGCCTTGAACAGAATTGACTCAAAAGAGTGATTAATTTATTAATGGGGCATTGCTCATGCCCAAGAAAAAAAGCGCTTGGAATAAACTACACATTTCTTAACATGTATTGCATTAAAATTAAGTAATGAGAGGAATGTTGCCCAGTGTAGCTAAGTAAAAGTTCCCTTTCAGTCATTCACTTCGACGTTATGTCGAAGTTCTGACACTAGGGATGCATTTGGGAGCCCAGAATCCTCTGACATCATTGAGAAAAGGCCAATGAAATTTGCAAACAAAATTTGCATAGCTGGCCACGCCACGGACATCCGGGTATAAATAGGCCAGCGTGGCATTGGCTCACTCATTCTGTTCTTCGGATCCGATGCAACATCTCTTTGGGAGATGCAGCACTGCATTCACCTCTCAATCTTCTCTTCGTTGGATCTATGGCACAAGCAGCGGTTTCTCCCTTGCCCATACACAGATAAGTGTAGTGAGGGTAACCCTGAGTGCTTCAACTGTGATCTTTGAGAGAAAATTTCCTCTTAAAAGAAGTTTCACGGATGGATTTGTGTGTGTTTTCAGCTTGCTTTTCCATCAGTGTCCTTCTGGTTGCAGTTTGTACATCTCACCCTCTGACAGCAACCCTCTTTGCAAACCTTGGAAATAGAATAGCCGTTTACTCGCCAGACTAATATACTATATACAGTATATATATATATATATGTGTAAAATGGCACAACTTTTTAAACATATGAAAGTACATTCTTAACATCAGTCAGTCAAGCATTATAATTTGATATGATAATCAATCATTATTTAATAACTCATACATGACTTGGTAGCCATGTATGAATGCATATTTGTCATTTTAACTGAACTTGGGACTGGTGGTGGTGCTTAAGATATTGTTGGTCATTCAGTGTTTCTGTAAAAAAAAAAAAAATACTAATAAGATTAATGAGCTGCTGGGTTCATAAATAGTAATCATGTTGTCTGCATTCGCTCAAACTTATTTGCTGAAATCAAAACAGGGCCAATAATAGGTGAGCGCCAGCCAATGAGATTGACGTTTGCACATTAGTTCCGCCCACTACCGGAGAAACCATCAGTATTTTATGGTTGTTCTTAAAAGCTGAAGAATTCCAAATGAACTCCGTTATTTTGACAGGAAAATACAAGAAAGAATATCGTTTACAATTAGCATGCAATTCTGCATAGTATGTAAGACTCTCTGCGTGAGTGTATGAAACAATGCTCTCAGCAAAGCGATGGTGAGTCGTGCACCTTCAAACAAGAGTTTACGATACGTCAAATCAGGGCCGTGCACAGACATTTTGAGGGGCAGTGGCCCAAACCAAAAAGGGGCACTAGGGGGGTGGGTGCTTGTTAATACAAATGATCCAGTTGTTACAAATATACAATTAAAAGAGAAGACAGCACACTCTGTAATCATTTCAGACTTTATTGTAGATGTTTCAATAAGAATGGGCTCTCCCTCATTCTCTGAGCCTGCTTCTGCCTCATCTTCAATGGAAGTAGGGGAGAGTGGGGTAAGTTGACCCACCCCCTGTTTCTTGGCAACTGTACACTTTTACTGTCATGTGACCATGTATTTTGGAACCACCCATGAACTATTGTGTTTGTTTTCATTTGATCCCTCATGTTCCATTGACCTAGTTTCTGTCTCCCCTTGATTGGGTCATTATGTTCAGGTGTGTCTTGTCAATTATCCTCCCCATATAAGTTTTATTCAGTTCAGTGTTTCTTTGTCCGGTCTCGTCAACGTGTACGTGTTTCTTATGCCTTCCTGTTGTGGATTACCTTGTGTGGATAATATTAAAGACTTTTACTTTCATCTTCATCTTCGTGTGAGTTCATTCTACACAGAAACGTGACAGTGATATTACCTTGTCGTAGTCATGGCCAGCTATGAGGCCACCGAGGTCCGGACCTCTGTAAATGTTTCATGTTCAAAAATAAAATTTGTTCTTTGAATTACTAATTTGTTGTTAAACTCCTCATATGAATGCCTGCATTCAGGGTTTGAAATTAACACCCGCCAACCTGCCAAA